TTAATCATGGAAAAATGTGGATTTGGGGTTACTTTTCTTAATCCGAAAATTGGAGATTTTCTTTTATCAGAGAAAACCAGGATCCCTGCTGACTACCTACTCACAGTTTACATCCCAGAGACTCTGGGACAGAGTTTCAGAACCTGTTTGACCTAAATCAGTTAAGTCTGATACTACATTCAACCAGGTTTATCTTAAACCAGTTTCAGCCATTTTGAAAGCAGTTTATACACACCAAATTTCTGTTCTGTAACAGGTTTCTGACCACTTAAACCGGTTTACAAGCTACTTCTGTGGCAGACAGTCCTGTCCTCCAGCCCCAGCCTGTTGCCAGTAACAGAGCTCAACAGGCTGAGCTGTTTTCAGCTTCCCTCAGAGGTCAATGTTTCCAGCCCCGAACCACTTTTGCTCCTCTCCTCTACCTCCTAGTTTGCTGGTACTTTTCAGCGTTGTGGTGGTTGATTTTCCTTCAGACTTTTATTGGCTGAATCTTTCCAAAGTTGAGCCTCACACACTGTGGTTTCCTGCTCTAGGCTCTTCCTATGTCTCTGCCTTCACTGTGGTTTGCAGCTGCCCTTAGTTTAGCATAATCAGCAACTTTCCCAGGCAACAGTCCACTCACTCTTCCTGGACGTTAAAGACTAAGTTAAATATGACTGGGCTAGCCACAGACCCCTGCACCCTCATCTTCCTATCACTTCCAGCTCTGTCCATCTATAGTGTCCTCCCTTGCTTGTTCCAAGGGCCTTATGGCTAAGGGCAAGCAAAACTTGAGGGCATCTGAACCCCAAGCCTCCAGGCTTGGGCCTGCAAGTAGGATGCTCACCAAAGGTTTTAGAAACATCTGAAGCCCCAGGTGCAGGTGGTGGATGCTTGCCAGTAGTAGGGCCACTTATGGTTCTGGACTCTTGGATTTGGAATTAGTTTTGGCTAATTTGGCCTTGGATACAAATGATGTATTTTTTAAAAATCTGCATTCTTGGATTGCTGCCTATCTAAGAACAACTCCGACTTTCCTCACAACACTCTCCATGCCTGGATTAACCTTCTCTTCCAGTGGACCAGACATATTTACCTCTTCCAGATCCCTCCCAGAGCTTTGCCTTCT